TGTCAAGGAACACTAAGCAGACATTTGTCATTTTTAAAAAATAAAATATAAACTATCTGCTTCCACAAGGAAAGATCACAGAAAATACGTAAAACCAATGTCTAAGCAAATTAACCACTTTAATGAACACAGATTGGACATTTTCAATATGAAAACATCAGACTAGATTCTTAAAGAAAATGTTTTATTCACATCATTAATTCTAAGTCACTGAATCAGAATTTTTTATTTTGGATGATAGCAAACTGAAGTTAATCTTCATGATAAACAAAGGGGGAGTGTAAGAGTTTACAGGCATCTAAAAATTTTACAACATAATTAAGGCCAATATCTATTTGTTTAAGAAAATAACCCATATATGAGTATTATGTAAGAGTAATGTATGTATTTCAAAACAGAGGCTTACTGTCTAATCTTTTTACACTGCTGCCTTAAGAATAATGCCAAACAATTTAAATCAGAACTTGAAACTGAAACTTCAACAAGCCAGTGATTATAAGCATCTGAAAGTCACACAACTCATTTAGCTTGAAAATACAGGATAATATAATTATACTACCCCCAGATGATTTTTCCACAGTCATCTTAACTAGTGAAAACTTAGCATATGATTATTCTCTTTTGTTAAAATGATGAGAAATTTTGGCATTTAGGTATGCAATAATGCTTGGGACACTGTCCAGGCTAAAACAAAAATCACTTAATGCACATGTTGAACAACCACTCTACAAAGAAAACTTCATTTAATTGAAGAGAGAGGAAAAACTGGAATCATTTTCCACATAAACAATCTGGGTGTTTTCCTGAGTGTCTTGAAAATAAGCAAGTTGTGAAAGATCCCTATACCACGTCCATCCATTGTTTCCACAATATACTCTTTATAAATATTAATGCTCTCAGATGAAAAAAAGAATCCATGCATATCAAGAACACGGCTATCTAAGTTTTGAGGTGGTATGTACTGATAACAAACTAATTAAACAATAACTCATTTCCTCAGTTAAAACTTATACAAATTTAAATGACATGTGTTTTTTTTTATTTTAAATTATTTTGACATAAGGGTATTAGAATGAGATCAGTCAGCATTTCATTGAACTGGTTAGAATTACAGGTTGGGGACAGATTGACATCAGTTTATAAATTAAGGTCATTTTAGTGAATTTAATTCAGGGAGTCAACAACATCATTGCAAATTTGATTCTGAATATTAATATACTATTTAGAACCCTGTTATTAAAAGATAATTAAACAATTTGCTAGTAAGTCAATCTAGCAGTAAAAAGAAGACAAATAAAATTTATGAAAATCAGCTTGAGGGGCCTCCCTGGTGGCCCAAGGGGTTAAGCCCCACACTATGGAGCAATCCGTAGCCTCTGCAGCATGAGTTCGGTCCCCGACCAGCCAGGGAGCAACCCACATGGCGAGGCAGACCTCTCCTATCTTGCTTGCTGCTCCCCTCAGCAGTGTATTTCACTCAGTCTGCCTGTTCTGTTCCCCACTCCGTCTCTGGTGAATCCTCTCACCCACCACATCTCTGGCCTGTGCCCAAGCTCTTGTATGCATAAATAAATAAATCTTTAAAAAAAATAGCTTGAAGTAATGGGGGTAAATCAGTGTATTTTTCTTTACCTGCAGAACCTGCCGTTACTATTTTTTCTTTTTGTTATAAATATGTTTGTGTATAGGGATATGTGTGTACTTAAAAAATTTTCCATAATCTTCCTTCCCTCTCATATTCCCTTATCACTTAACATAAGAGGTACTTATGAGGTACAGAATCTTAATATTGTTAACTCTACATCATAGTATTTAGTTATGGGAAATCAAAGAGAAGAGGGAATGCAAAACTTTGCATTCCTCTCAGGGGGAAGGGTTAGTGTATTATCAGCCATACACGAGATTGTCATGTAATGTTAGGTGCCAAGTGTGACTTGTCATTGTCCTTATTAAGTGCAGTTAAGATGAAATGCACAAGTGCCAAGTTGACAAAGAGTGTACTTCAGATGTTTAATTTTACATGTCAGGCCTGCCTGGTGGCGCAGCCTCTGCAGCACGGTTCGATTCCAGGCTGGCCAGGGAGATACCCACACGGCGTGGCAGACCTCTCCTGTCTTGCCCGCTGCTTCCCTCAGCAGTGTATTTCGGTCCTTCTGCCTGTTGTGCTCCCTGCTCTGTCTCTGGTGAATCCTCTCACCCTCCCGCACCTCTGGACTGCAGCCCAGTGCTTATATAAATAATAAATAAATCTTAAAAAAAATTATGTGTCAACTTTGTAGGTCATGTTATTCAGATATTTGATCAAATATTATGTTAGTTATTCTTATGAAGTTATTATTTTCAGATGAGATTAATATTTAAATCAGTATTTTCAGAGTAAAGCAGATACCTTCATATTGTCAGTAGGTTCATCCAGTCAGCTGAAAGCCTTAATGGAAAAGAACTTCCCTGGGAAGAGAGAAATCTAACTATGGACTTGAACTGTAGCACCAATTCTTTCCTGGAACTGCTGGTCTTTCCCTATAGACTTTGATCTTGCTAGTCTCCAGAATGTATGAACCAATTCTTAAATTTCTCAACACACACACATACACACCCCTTTTGGTTCTGATTCACTGAAAAATACATAATATATAACCCCATACTTAAGAGTCTGGGGCTTTAAATCCTAATTGTTTGGTTCTATCTTGATTCTATATAATCTACTGTGAGACTGGGCAAATTACTCATTAGTTCTCAATCTGCTCATGTGAAAAAGGGGATAATAAATATTAGCCTTTACCTTTGTTTTGTGATTTAAGTACATTTTATATATGGAAAATATATAGAAAAAGCACACACAACATATTGGGAATTTTCTTATAGAAAAAATTTATGTTTTTTTGAAATCTATTTTTGTAGGAGGTAGCCAAAATAACGAAAAATTGAATCTACTGATTTTCAGATTCTTAGTTTTCTGAATGGAATATCAGTAACTAGCATTTGAAAATAGCTGAAGTAAAAGTGTGTGCAATAGGTACATTCTTAAACACATGTAGGACAACAAAATATCTGAAAAATCAAATAATGTGAGGGTGAGGCCATTGACCCATTATAAATCTCAGAATGCTTTAAAGTTGGTTATCAGGGCCTCCCCGGTGGCCCAGCAGTTGAGTGCTGGGCTGCAAAGCTGCCCACAAGCCTCTGCAGCGCCGGTTCAATCCCGGGCCGCCGGGCAAGGGTCCCACATGGCGCGCAGACCTCTCCTGCTGCCCGCTGCTCCCCCCACCAGTGTATTGTCAGTCTGCCTGTACTGTTTCCTGCTTTAGCTCTGGTGAATTCTCTCACCCTCCTGCCCTTCTGACTGTACCCAGTGCTTGTATAAATAAATAAATAAATCTTTAAAATAAATAAATAAATAAAGTTGGTTATCAATAGTGGTTAACATTCTGCTTCTACATTTACCTTCTACACTGGACTCTCTCTCTTCCAATTTTCTCATCCTTCTTAATCACTACTCAGATGGACCCTAGGACTATAATTTCATCTCTTTTCCCTACAATTCTCTGTCAAATATATATTGTTTGTGTTCTTTTTATTGTATTTTGTTCTTATTAGAAGAACACCTAGTTATTTCCCTTCACCTGGAAAAGACCTTGATATCACTGACAAAAAAAGCTGAAAACTATAAAAAAGACAGAATTTACTACTTAAAAATCAAGTGGTTAATATATGCCGAGAAGACGACAAAGAAAATTTAAACACTGGCAAATGCACACATAACATTTTGTATATACTACCAAGTATTTAACAGAAATAATAATAATCATAGTTATAACACTTTACATCAAACATTCACATACTTTGTTTCACATTAACTTCATAGCAATCCTGTAAAGAAGTTAGAAAACAGGATTTTTCAACATCAGCTTAAGGACATTTTGAATCAGATAATGTTTTGTTATTGGCAACTGGCCTGATGAGCAACACTACTGGTTTTGCACACTAGAGGCCAGTAACCTCCCCCACCCCTGCTTAGCCCAACTGTGACAATAGAAAATGACTCTGAACAATGCTTAATTCCGTGGGGGAAAGAATCATCTCCAGTTGATGACTATTGCCAGAAAAAATGGTATTTTTTATAAACTGGATGAAACTTAGATAGTGACTTGTCCAAATGCATCCTTTCTCTTAATGACCTATAAACTTGACAGTTATAGGACAATGCCATGAATGCTTTGGGTGTAGATCAGTAATCGCCACCCAATAAAGCAACTGTGAGTTTTGGATGCCAACTCTCTTATATTACAGACATTGCTGAACTCATTTTCTTTTTCAGCTGATTCATTCATTATTTCAGGCTTCTTTCTTTCCACAAAGAGAAATGATGTTGTTATAAATTCCAAGTTAGAAATACATGCTATGAAAACTTACCTAGCATAAAACACATGTATAGTGCATGTCTCAGTCATATTTTCAAAATATATCTATTTTAGTTTGTACAAGATTTATGAAGCAACATCAGTTTGGTAACTAATATGCATCCAACCCTTACAACCCACCTTCATCATAAATATATAGAATACTGACAACATTTTCCTTTTATAGCGGCATCATAGCAGAAAATCTAGTCATATTGAAAGTTAAAGGTAGAGGTGAAGATACTTTGGTTACCTAACCAAAAATTTATTCTATAGTCTTTACCTTCTATTGAAGATTTATGGACTTCTTCAATGATCTGTTGGTTTCTTAGGCTAATAAACAGCATTCCCTCTTTTACATTACTACCTTTTCCCTAGTTGGAATATATATACAGGATTCTCATAGTAATGTTCTAAACACTGGTACTTCAAACAATTAGTCAACCACCATATCTAAGCAGTGTTCCACTTCTTTTGATACAGTTTTTCAACTAAAAAAAAAATGGAATTGCCACACATTACACATTGCCTTCTGTGTGAGACTGATAAGAAGCAAAAGGGAATATTTGAATGGGAGTAGATTAGGGTTACAAATCCTACCTTCCATGACATACACCAGTGACCCCACATCTCCTTCTTTGATGATGCAGCTGTCTTTGCCGTACTCCACTGGATACATACAATCCACAATCTCCTGGATCTGTGATAGTTCCAAGTTTTTCATAAAGTCATTGTCAAGGATGGCTTCCTTTATGAGATCCTTTGACCTGCAGAAATAAGGGAAATTTTACTGGCACATCTGCCAAGCATGTTCATAGTCTGCAAGGTTTAGCAGTGCCATGTACTGTTCTGGCATACTGCAAATGCATTTTCTTGTTAGGAATCCAATAATTTTTTGAAAGGCCTGAGAACAAAGTAATTCCATGGTAGCAATAAAGGCAATGAGAAATTTTCCTTTAAGTATCGTTTGATGAATAGGTAACCAAGAAACAAGCAAAGTCACAGATTTCTAGTAGTATCATGTATGTCTTTTAATAACTGAAACTTTTTTTTAAGATTTATTTTATTTATGCATACGAGAGCTGGGTGTAGGCTAGAGGTGTGGTGGAGGGGAGGAAGTGAAAGGATTCACCAGAGACAGAATGGGGAGCAGCGGGCAAGACAGGAGAGGTCTGCTGTGCCATGTGGGTTAGCTCCCTGGCCATCTGGGGATCAAACTTGTACTACAATGGCTGCTAATAGCTTCATAGTGCTGAGACTTAACCCCTTGCACCACCAGGGAATCCCAATAGCTAAAACGTTAATAGAATAAACACTCTTAATATCATGCTTACATATTATAAAAGAACATCAGGATGTATTATATTATACACAATTACAGTAAAACACAATTTGTGTATTTATTTTGTGTGTATATGTATGTGTATGTGCCACATCCTCTAGACTTTACATTCCATTAGGGCAAGGATCAATTTAATTTTTTTCTCTACTGAATGCCCAGAAGTACTATAATGAGGGTTATATATAGCATGGGTGCTCAAGAAATATTTTGCATAAAAAACTTTTTAAGAATTTAATTTCTAATTAGCTGTTTGAAACAACTGATAGAAATGTGGCAGTTTTTATCCAAACTTCATGTGTCTTTAAAGAACATTTATTTCTTAAATAAAAAAACTTCAAAAAAATTATTTCTTAAATGTTCTTTAAAGCTTAAATTGAGGGGCTTAAATAGACTCAACCTATGAAGCTATCCACAGCCACTGCAGCATGAGTTCGATTCCCAGCCAGGGAGCAGCCCACATCATGCAGCCGACCTCTCCTGACTCGTCCGCTGCTCCCCTCAGCAGTGTATTTCAGTCATTCCACCTGTTCTGTTCCCCACTCTGTCTCTGATGAATCCTCTCACCCCCCACCCCACACTTCTGGCCTGTACTCCAGTTCTTGTATGCATAAATAAATAAATCTTTAAAAACATAAAACTTACATTGAGGTATCAAAGAAGATAAAACTCTATTAAACAAGATGTTTTAAACATAATTATGATTCACACATGGTATTAAACAGATAGTGAAAATATATTGGCAAATGCTATAGTTTGGATATTGTGGTGAACACAACATTTCTGAAGAACTTGAAAGTTGGTGATAATTTGTTTCACAGGGATAAGAAATCCCAAATGAATCCCTAAGCATACAAAAATCAAAGTGAAGAAATATTTTGTCAGGAGAAGCAGAATCAGTACTGTTAGAGAAGTTAGAAATTGGATGACAGCAAATACCTTATTGTTATAGAGAGGAAGCAACACATTTGGAATTTTACATTAAAAGTCTCAATTTAAAAAGCATTGGACTGTATACAAGCTGGTGTTTGTCCACATTTGTTTAGCAAGTGGCTTACAGGAAAATAACTTGCAGTAGTGTATAGTGAGTGACAAAAACATTAGCTCTCTCCATTTTGGGTGACTTTTCATCTAAGCCTCAGTCTAACAGAATTAGCCAAAGGCATACATAAAAGTGAAAACTACTGACAATTCATCAGTGCAAAAAAGTCTTAAAATGGACTCTCATTGTGCACATTATGAAGCATGTTGATGGCAGGGGGAAAATTCTTGTACCATTTTTAAGTGACTAAAGCAAAAACAGAACTGTTTTTAGAATAAAAAAGTATGTGTATGATAAATGTAAGGAAAACAGATTTTGAAGTTAGATACATCCGGGACGCTATCCTAGTCCTGTCACATGTTAAATCTTGAGCAGTCTATCTTACATGTGTGAATTTACATTTTATCACCTGTCAAACAATATTTAAAAAATTACCAACCTAATATTTACAAGTAAAGACTGATGAAAATACATTGTTACTTATGTAGATGGTGGGTGATAGGTGGCATTAATGGAATTTGCAGTATGAGAGTGGGGAGGGATAGAAGGCATGAAATACTATTGGAGGGAAATTTACACAATGTTGACTTATGTTGACTTTGAGGACTAACAGTATTATACTTTTTATCATTTTACTTTTCTCTACTTAGAAAATTCTCTAGGGTAGACATTAAAACTTTATATTGCAAAATCTTTGATTTTACAGGTACTTCAAGAAAATTGCCTATACAATGAGGAAAAATAGAAACAATAGTCTATTCTTCATATGAATAATGAGTAGCTATTTAATACTAGTTAACTATTATTGATATATTCAATAGTACTTTTTTAGTAGATTTTCTTTTATATAGATTATGTTTAAATACTAATAGAATTTTGACCAAATGGATGCATTTCACCTAACGAAGGAATTTCACTCAAAGAAGATGGATTACTAGTGATTAAACACTGTTCTTCATAAGTCTTTAAAACAACAGTTAAAACTTGTCCCAGCCTGGGCCTCCCCTGGTGGCGCAGCAGTTGAGCGCTGGGCTGCGAAGCTGCCCGCAGCCTCTGCAGTTCCGGTTCAATCCACAGCTGCCGGGCAAGGGTCCCACATGGTGCGACAGACCTCTCCTGCCACCCGCTGCTCCCCTCAGCAGTGTACTTTGGTCCTTCTGCCTGTTCTGCTCCCCGCTCTGGCTCTGGTGAATTCTCTCACCGTCCCGTGCTTCTGACTGTACCCAGTGCTTGTATAAATAAATAAATAAATTCAAAAAACCTTGTCCCAGCCATGATTTTCAAGATATCACCTTCTTAAATTATGTTTACCTTTCTGAACTCAGTACCATTAGCACCCACATAGTGCCTTCTGCTATCTATTGAGCTAAGATTATTTTAGTCAGATACCAGTACTTTAATCTTCAGGAAATTAATTTAATCAAATATAGTATTTTATTCTTACTAAAAATCCCTTTATTTTCTCTGGATCAAAGAGTGAGATCATACAATGGGTTCCCATTTTCTAAAGACTGCTATCAACCCCAGTATCCTAACTTGTTTAGTTACACATGGTCTCTTATCCTTTGGGAACCATTAATAGTACTCTATTAGAAATCTAAGTCCTAGAAATGCTGTAAGATTAAAAATAAAGCCCTCATCCAAGAAAATAATTAGTTTAGTACAAAGATGACTGGAAAAAAGAGTTAATTTCTCTCCTCTCATAAACAGTACAAATAACCTGTTTTGTGAAAACATCAGAGAAGACAACACAATGAAATCTAACAAAATCCCTTTGAATTTTCCAAGTGCTTATCTCAAACTAGGGATGAGAGAGATTTCAGGAAGCTCTCCTGCAGTTTTATTTCAAATGAAGAACTTTAAATCTCAAGTTTCCAAAGAAACAAACTGGAGACACTGTGCATGCTGTTGTGTCACTTTAAAACAAACAATAAACATAAAACCAATGTCTTACCATGCATCCCTTCATACAGGTATTGTCCAAAACCATGTCTGTCTTTGAAATATCACAAATAAGTCTCTACCCTCACAGCAAGATAAAAATCTTGTGTTTCTGTGTAGCACAACACAAAGATGTTCTTGTCAATGTGTAATACTTAAAGCCATGCCTTTTCACAGAACTTTCTTTTAAATCCTTTTCCATTGAGGGTCTAAAACCTTAGGTAAATTCTTATCAGTCTCTACTTGCTCCAACATTATAATCAACCAGAGGTTTCAAGTAACTTTTCTTCGAATCTCTATCTTCCCCTGAAGAAATAGTCTCAGGCACTCACTATAACTAAGCTATGACACTATTTATATGATTAGTTGAGCTGTGTATCAATCAGTATGTGAGCTGGGGAAAGCTGCTATATCAATTTCCAGAAGGTGATTATCTGCTCTTAAAAAAGTATATATTTCAACAACATTTTGCCAGAGTTCAGAAGCTTGAGCTGGGAGGTATAAGAACCAAACACAAAGATCCAGAATTTTATTTTTCCTGTCTGCTTCTGTACACAAGTAATCGTTTTTATAAGAAACAATTTTTTCATCCAACACCCTAAATTTGTGGTTTTAAAAATTCAGACAGGTATAAAATAACTTGGCTATTTCAAATGACTTCTATTGATTTGTCATCACAAAATTGTCAGCTTCTGAAACACTGGCTATATATACTGCTGTGCTGGTAAACTGACTCTCCAGGATTAAAAAAACAAGTGCTGGTTTGTAGCATTTGCCAATTTCCATGGTATAAATACTTTCACCATAGCCGATTTCAAGCTACTAATGCAAAGTCAACCTGTTTGCAAAATTCCTGAAAATTTAACAAGCAATTCTAATATGAGCCAGTATGAGTTGGCTCCAGTATACCACTGGATATAGATTTTTCTAACACTAAGAATTTAGTGTTATTTAATTTAGAAATGCTGAAATCTGTATAAGCCTCTCCTTCCTTAAAAATTTCATTAAATGGCATAATATCCCTAAATATTTTTTTTTAATTTTTTTCGAGGTAACAACCATTACAACACTATATATGATTTAGAGCTATAGGATCACACCCGTCAGGTATATGTTACCACACCACACTCACTGCCAAGGAACCCATAGTCCTACACCATGGTCCAGTGTGCCTCCTCCCTATTTTGGGAGAACCCAGAGAATTTAGTGATAGAATTAGCAATAGGTCTTCCAAACTTTCCATTTTACGAAAATGAATTAAAAAGACCACTTCCCCATTGAATTATTTCAATGAAAGTTCCTAAAGAGATGCAAAGGATATATGATAAAAAATATCAAATTTCTATACAATCTTCGGCAAAAATGGGAAATTCTAGGGTACTAGGGAGTACTACTTCTCTAGTAAGGGAGCCTATACCATTTATTATTTATTCATTATTCTTTAT